CCTGCTTTACTGGGCACAATGACAAAAACCCTGGCAGCCGTTGCCGGCATAGCACTCACACAGGAAAAGTAAAACTCAAAATAATATTTTTTTTCTCTTTTGGTTTTCTGAGACAGGGTTTCTCTGTGTAGCCTTGGCTGTCCTGCACTAGCTCTGTAGACCAGGCTGGCCTTGGACTCACAGACATCCACCTGCCTCTGCCTCCTCCTGAGTGCTGGGATTAAAGGTGTGCACCACCACAGCCTAGTCAGAATACTTTCTTTCGGGCAGTATTGGGATCAAGCCCAAGGCCTTACACCCGTTCAAAGAGTTGATTTTAAAAAGCAAAGTAACGCCACAGAAGAGACACAGATGGCCAGTAAACACTTGAAAATGCTGAACTTCACTGTCTCTGAAGGAAGCATTGTGTAATGGTGACTAACAGTGACTCATCAATAGCCAAGATTAGATAGTTCAAGAATATGCAACGCTTGAAAGGGTGGGGGGCAGGAGCAGCATTTGCCAGCAAGCAGCTCGTGCCTGTAGCCCTAGTTACTTGGGAGGCTTATTTTTGCCCAGGATCTCAAGACCAGCCTGGGCAGTGTAGTGACTTCATCCCTAAAATACAGTGGAATTAAAAGGTTAAGCTGGAGCCTTGAGATGGCTCAGTGAATAGAGAGATAAGTGCCAAAGCTTACCCTCTGAACCCACATGGTGGAGGGAGAGAGCTGACTCCTGTAAACTGCCCTCTAACCTCCATACGTGCGATCCACACACCCCCCCCCCCCCCCCCCCACACACACACGGGTGTGCACACACACACACACACACACACACACATACACACACACAGACACGGGCGCTCACGTACACAAAGTGTAAGCTTTTTTTCTTTTTTTCTTTTCTTTTTTTTTTTTTTTTTGGTTTTTTGGAGACAGGGTTTCTCTGTGTAGCTTTGGAGCCTATCCTGGCACTCGCTCTGGAGACCAGGCTGGCCTCGAACTCACAGAGATCCACCTGCTTCTGCCTCCCAAGTGCTGGGATTAAAGGCATGTGCCACCAACACCCCGCAAGTGTAAGTTTAAGTTTTTTTAAGTTAAGCTGCTAGAAGGATAAATTTATTCACAAATACTTCACATAGCATTATTCATATGACTATGAGATAAATTATAAGAATAATTTATAAAGACTATAAGCTCTAAGAGCTCTAGGAAGCCCTTAAAGATAACAGGAAACAATCATAGGACATAAACATGTTTGCTTATGCACACGCAGATCCGTGTGGTACTAACTGCAGAGCATGAGAGGAGAGGGGCTTGCTGGTCACGGTGACAAGAAGTTGTAGATGACTTTTAATCTTTCTCCACACTTTGACATGTGCTGATAGTTTTCTGCAACTAACATGAATTACTTTATTATAAACAGGAAGAAGCTTATCTAAAAATGGCCACCATGACCAGCAGTCTCTAGAGCAGCGGTTCTCAACTTGTGGATCATGGCCCCTTTAGAGGCAAATGACCCTTTCCCAGGGCTCACCGAAAACACAGATACTAACATTACAAACATGGCAAAATTACAGCTATGAAATAGCAACGAAAATAATTTTATGGTTGGGGTCACCACAACATGAGGAACTGTATTAAATGGTCACAGCATTAGGAAAGTTGAGAACCACTGCTTTAGAGCCTCTTGCCCTTTGAAGGAAGCTCAGGCTTTATTACAGGGAATTAGGGACTTTTTGTGGTGAGAATGTGATTGCCATGGTCGTTAGAGAAACAACACAGTCTGGGTAGGCTGCTGGGACAACTAGAAGAGTTTCCAACCAAATATACAGGTGCTGTGGCAAGAGAGTTAGAGTGGGGGCTGGTTACCAGCCTCTGAAAGTGTGTTATCTCTAGTAGGAAGCCGAATGGACATCCCCACACTGCTGGGAAAATGAAAGGCATAGACAGAGCCCCTCACGAGGCTCTGCCATCTTGCCTGGGTGTGGCCCTAACACATGATGTTATATGTTAAGGACACCGGGGGTGTTTTCATCCATTCATTCCAATAATAATTCCTAGCAGCTTCCTCAGGGTAAAAATAGATGGAGACTGTTCCTCAGGAACACTGAATTCTAGTACAATACCAGCTTTTGGCCTGACCAAAGGAGTTGGAGACTGAGTGTGGCCTGGAGGGAATGGGCATAGCCTAAGCAGAAAAGCCTGGCCACAAATAAAAAAAAAAAAAAGTGCAGAGACAAAGGGACCTGAGCCCCAGGAAAATTCAAGTTCCAAGACATACCAGAGGATAGAGAGCCTCCGGTGCCAGGCATAGGAGCTAGGGCTGACCTCTGCCAGGGAGGGCAAAGCAGCGTAAAGTCAGCACAGCCTGCTCCACACGCCTGGAACTGCACTCCTCCTTCCTGTTTCCTCTTGCTCTGCTCGCTGCCGCCGTACAAGCCTTTGGAATGTCGGGTGTGGAGGCATGTGCCCGTAATCACAGCATTCCAGAAACCCGGGCCGGAGGATCACAGGGTTTGAGGCCAACTTGGACTATGCAGAGAGATTGTGACCAAGCAATTACCTACCAAAACCTCTAAAAGATCCGTTGAGAGAAAATGGAGTCACAAAGGTTCCTGGCACTTGACAGGAGCTGGGCTGCGGTAGCCATAGCCTCCTCTGAGAAACCAAGCTCGCTGTCTGACAGAGCTTCGGGGTAGTGTTTTACCCTAAATTCGAACAGGAGCCTCCCAGTTCCCATTCTGGTGGTTTCTGGGTAGTGCAGGCTGGGCACTACAGCATCACTGGATAAGGGGTTCCACACCCAGAAACCCACCCCACATCCTGAAATACCTCTCTAAAAGCACACGTATAGACTTTACAAAAAAATTGCTAAATGGGAAAAAAAAAAAAAACAAACTTAAAATATGTTGGGAATCTCCCCATACCATGGCTACATGGAGTATTCCATCCTTCCAACACAGTGACATATGGACTAAAGCTGCCTTTTACAGTCTTGACAAATTCCTATAGTGAGCATCACTGCTTCAAGAATTGCTAGTACATTCATTCAGGGCATCCCTGGCCCCAGCCTACAGCGCCTCTGACAAAAGCCTGAGGAACAGTAGCCAAGGTTGCTTGGGAGCTGTTCCCTGCTGGGCTCCTCTGAGGGGTGAGAGCCAGGAACTGGACATCCTGGGGCAGCAAGATGCTGGGGAAAAGGCAGTGTGGATTCAGACCTCAGTGTTCTAACAGGCACATGTGTACTGCCCGGGGGCTGCTAAAATCCACTAATGAATCTCTATTGTGTCATATATTGGGGGCCTTTGAAAAAAATCCCCTTATCCCAGTCCTCCCCCCACCCCCATACACCTTTCTCTTTCCATTCCTTTGTCTTCTTGTAAAACAACTGTGGCCCACAGAGGTCCCACTGCTGTGTGTGTGAGGAGCGTTCCCCAAAGGAGAGCCCTAGGAAGCAGGTCTCCAGGGTCTGTGGGTCCTTCCCCAGGGCCACCAGTGCTGGGCTGCACCTGGACCTCTACAATAGGCCCACAGGAACGGTGTCTTACAAGGTTCCCAGCTCTGCATTCCTAGTGTAAATATTTGTTTTATTCCTTAGTGGAATAGAGAGAGAGGCACAGTGTGCAGAGTACTATTTTTGAAGCAATTTAAAAATTCCTTCTGAATAAAAGAGTAATGAAAAGATTTTTCTGAGTAGTAGTGTAGTAAAATAGGCACCTTATTTATTTATTTATTTTGAGACAGGGTTTCTCAGTATAGACTTGGTTGTCCTGGAACTTGCACTGTAGACCAGGCTGGCCTCGAACTCAGAGACCAACTTGTCTCTGCCTTCCAGTGCTGGGATTAAAGGAGTGAATCACCTCTGCCTGGCAAAATAGGCACTTTTGTATACACCCAAAGAGATGGCATTAGCAGGTTTTCTGTAGGTCCGTCTAGCAATATGTATTAAGATCACCAAGATAGTGAAACAAACAGCTCTATGAGTGGAATTTGGGGTTTTTTGGGGGGGGTTGTTTGTTTTGGGGTTTTGTTTGCTTTCTTTTGGAGGCAGGGTCTGTCTACATGGCCCTGACTGTCCTGGAATTCACTAAGTAAGCAAAGATGCCCTCAAACTCAGAGATTGCCTGCCTTGCATCTGAGTGCTGGGATTAAAGGTGTGCACCACCACGCCCAGCCTATGAATTGAATATTATGTAACTATTAACCACATTTTGAAGAATATTTCAACAACTATGAAAAATGGTCATAATAGTCAATGAAAAACCACTGCGTTTAACAGTATGCTTTTTAAAATTAGTCACATAGGGAAAATATCAGTGGAATATGAACAGTGGTTTTACTGGGGTGATAGGATAAAGGATTGCTTTAAGTTTTTCTTTCATATTTCCAGAGTTTCCTAGAATTAATAGATTGCTGTTGTTATGGGTGGTGTGTTCAGATGTTTTAAAATCAATGGAGTGCAATGGTGTGATTCCATCATAGGTGAGCCCTGTTTTACCCAAGTCAGTTCCCCAAATTGGGCAGCAAACCCAGGCCCATATCTAACCAAGCAGTAGAGCTTTGGGGACACCAGTGCACACCCAGAGCACAGACACTGATTTGAATGACATGTAGCCTAGCTTGGATGGCTGTTCAGTTCCCCAAGGGGTTGTCAGCATCAGGGTGAGAATTGCCACTCAGGTCAAGCTTGCAACCCCTACCTTCAGCTGCAGCCCCGCCTACCAGTGAGCCTTGCCCTTCACCTCACACACACACACACCCCACACACACATACACAGAGCTTCTGAAGGCTTGTATCTACGCTGCAGTGTAGAAGCCTTTGACGTGAGGGTCTGGCTTAGGATACTTCAGGCTTCCACAGCTGCCTGGGAAAGACCTCAAGCCTGAGATCCACTGAGGATCTGTGGGACCTGGCTGTGACCTGGGACTTCCTGTCTGGGTGAGGGCAGAAAGAACAGGGGCTCTGAATACAAAGGCCTGAGGAAAGGGCTGGATACTCACTGGTGTGGCCTTTTCCAGGTGCCCAGCAAGGGCAGAAGAAATGTCTGTCTCCAGGCTGTGTCGGAGCCACTGCCTGCCCTTGGTGGGCATCATGGTCCTTGTGGCTGTGGTCCTGTCGCTGATGTCCTACGCTCTCCTCTGGAAGGCTGGCAACCTCGCTGACCTGCCTAACCTGAGAATCGGCTTCTACAACTTCTGTCTGTGGAAGGAGGACACTGGCTCCCTACAGTGTTACAACTTTCCTGAGCTGGAGGCCCTGGGGGTTCCTCGGGTTGGCCTAGCCCTGGCCAGGCTTGGTGTGTATGGGGCCCTGGTCCTCACCATCTTTGCCCCTCTGCCTCTCCTCCTCGCCCAGTGCAACGGTGATGAAGGAGAGTGGCGGCTGGCGGTGGGCTTCCTGGCGGCATCCTCCGTGCTGCTGGCCAGCGGACTGGGCCTCTTCCTTTCCTTCGTGTGGAAGTGGGTCAGGCTCACCTTCCTGGGGCCTGGCTTTCTGGCTCTGGGCCTAGCCCAGGCATTGCTCATTTTCTTGCTTATGACCACGGTTATGCTCCCTCCACGGGGAAAGAAGGGCGAGAGCAAGTGGGAGGACTGTTAGCCGGTCTAAAGGCTTATGGGATTCCAGGGGTTCGGTTCCAGCTGTGCTCCAAGGAGGTGCCAGCGAACCTGTGATTGGGTGGGTCCTCTCTGCCTCCTCGTTTCATAGCTAATGCGGATCTCAAGCTCGGGCAGATGGAACAGGAGGGCTGCAGTGTCAAGGAGCCCAGAGGCAGCATGGATGGCTGCGGTACTTAGTGTCCTTCCTTACTCTGAAGGACTCTAAAACCATGTGGCTCATTAATTAGCACAGGGATCCTTGCTTTAATCAACCAATCTGAGCAATTCTCACTCTAGCCGCAGGCAGGGGGGAGCCTGATTGTCAGAGGCCAGATTTCCAAGCCAATTTGCCAAAGCGTCTGACAAGCACTCTGTGAAAGTTTGTGGCAACAATGGGATGGCTAGAAGTAACTGCTTTAACATTTGTGTGATGCCCCCCACACCAGAACTCCAGCCCCAGAGGTCCAGGAATAACCTCAAAGGGACTCAGCTAAGAAACACAGAGCACAAGAGAAGCCTTGCTGGCTCTGTGGGGTCCCCTGAATGGGGCCCTGAACCTGATGCCAGACAGGCGGCAGCTGTCAAACCATTCTTGTGAGCCAGGAATGCAGATGCAAGACATGCCAAAGCCTGGAAGGTGAACAGGACGCAAGAGTCGACTGCACACAAACACCAGCCTCCCCTCCCCTTACCCAGAACTGGAAAGGGCACTGGGTTATCACTTTGTATTTCTCTGTATAGCACAAAACCTACATGGCAACAAGTTCTTCATTCTGCGCTCATCAAAAGCCATGGTGAATTACAAACAAACATGGACTCTGGTGTGATCTTTTATCCTCAGTGTCTCCTGTCTCCTGTCTCCATACCCGCCGCCCTCTCTCAGGTGGAGGCCCCAGGTGACAGAGAGGCAACAGGTGGCGGCCTCACCAGTCTGTGAGAGCCCCCTGCTGCTAGGCTGGCAGGGAACTGTGGGCAGCTGCCAGCCTTTTCATTTGGAGGGGTGGAAGCCGACTGCTGGACTGTGTCATGATGGAGGCTGTACATAGGCCTCCTCCTTAGTGCCAGATCAGGCTGCCTGGCTGGAGTTCTCAGCAGCTACACTTATTTTGCTTGACCTCATTTTTGCTGGTACTTGAATAAAGCACAGCCAGACCCTCTGAGCTAGAGAGCAGTGTAGGGATGAGACCCTGACGGATGTACTTCTGCATCCTGCAACAGACACCCCCCCCCCGCACACACACACACACACACACACACAAATGAAAGCATCCTGGGACTGGACATTGGGAGCAAAGCCTGGTTGTCGAGGGTGGCAGGGGCAGGCGGTGTCCACAGTTCTCAGCAGGGAGTCCAGGGAACAGTTCATATCAACTGAAAAATATCTCCCTGACATACTTGAGCGCATCCTCCTCCTCCTCCTCTTCCTCCGGGCTTCTGCTACAGGGAGAGTCGGCAGCTTCTGGCCCGTGGGAAGGGCTGAGGCCCAGAGCAGGCGAGCGGTTCCCACTGTCCTCCTTCTCACTGCTGCTCCCCGGGGAGCTGGTGTGAGGAGAGGCAGAGTAGGGAGGGGAGGGCTGCGGCTTATCAGGGGCCACCAGAGTCGGCTTTTCCTGTTTTCGGCCCTACAGAGCACAAGAAATGACAGGCTCAACACAACAGCGCGCTTCCCTGACGCACTTTGTCTGACAGGGATGTGGACACACTCTGAGTCAACTGTGAAGCCAGCACAGCACATGACCAGGCCAGGCAGTCCGTCCACGCCATGGGCACCCACCCACCCTTTCTTCACCCCACTGCTCCCACACCCAGGCTCGGGACTCATGAGGGAAAGACGCAGGCCTAGGTATGAGGAACAGCTGAGTAGAAGGGGAAACCATCCAACTGAAAAACACGGTTGGAAAGGCAAGGCAAGAGAATACCAGGAGCCCAGGCTACAAAACCTGCTGTGGGCCTAAATGAGCTCCACCACTAGCTGGCGGCAGAGCTTCAATTTCTTGGGGACAGCAGTAGCCCAGATCACTGCAGCCCTGGGTTACCATGGGCTGATTTAAAGCACACGTGGAAAGCAGGAACTCTGCAACTTCACATGGCAGTGCCGGCAGTGCCGTTCTTACTCCTCCAGGAAGCCAGGAAACTTCCACAGCCTTCTACCGAGAGGAGAGCTGGTAAGGAGCCCTTCTACTCAACTGGTACCCTCCCCTGCGTGCCCATTGGTACTGGCACTCCACTGGCACAGCTAGTCTCAAAGGCTTACTCCACATGACACACACTACACACAGGAAGTAGCTGAGGGGAACACGGCTGGGAAGAGCCAGCAAGATGAAGCAGTGGGACCCTGATGCAGCCTAAGAGCACCTCTGTTACCAGGAGCAGGGACCTATGCTAGTCTGAACCCATGAAGCATTTCCAGTCACCGGAGTCGGGAGACACGGGGCTGTTGTTACCTCAATCAGGATTCCCAGAGCCACATCTACCATTTCAGCTTCATTCATGCAGTACACAGTCTTCATGACAGGGGCCCTGAAATAAAGACACAAAGCCACAGCTGAGGACAGAGGGACTCACAAGGGGGAAGGAGACAGAAGCATCCTCCATGGGAGCAGGATGGGTAGGGGTACTGCTTCTCTGAAGAATTCCTCAACCCGGTGGCCGAGGGACAGAGCACAGGGCTACCCACCCTCCATGGACCCCCTCACAAGGGACTGGGAATGGAATGATGGCTGGTTTCCGAGGGTCACTCCTTGAATCACACAGTGGACAGCCAGGCATTGTGGCACCTACTAATCCCCTGCACTCGGAAGGCAGAGGCAGGAGGATCTCTGAGTTCGAGGCCAGCCTGGTCTACAGAGCGAGTTCCAGGCTAGCCAAGGTTACATAGACCCTGTCTCAAAATCAAACAGTGGACACAGCAAATGCAGGCCATCAGGCCAGGGCCCGATTTGTACCTGAATTTGAGAATACATTTAGACAAAGGTTTCGGCAACTACGGGGTACAGGTGGCCAGGGAAGAGCCAGCGAGCACAGCACTGGGAGCCTAATGCCCTTTCTGAGAGAATGGCAGGGGACTCCCTCCCATTTGATAATGGCAACCTAAAACTCTCCCACCCCTCAGTCACCAACATTTACCTAACACCCACAGCTTCTGATTTCTTGACTGTCCACAAGAAATGCAGGCACCACTCGGGCTTCGGGAGTTCAGATCCACTCACCTTGCAGACTTATAGTTTTTGTCACAAATAAAGAGACTAGCACGTTGGACAACTGGCTCCTGAGGACATGGTTTGCACACAGAACTCACTGTCTGTGCCAACAGCTAGATGGCAGGACCTCACCAGTACAGTGTGACTCAGGTGGTACTTCTCTGTGAGGGGACAGCTGAGACTGAGGAGGCTGCCCCGCCCACTCCGATAGGCCAAGACAGCTACTGAGAAGTGCCCTGACCACAGGCTGTCCCACCTTGTTGCTAACCCAACTTGTCCGGCGGCTATCTTCTTCCTCTTGGGTGTCTTCACTGACAACTCCCTCTTCTCATCCACAGGGGCTGTCATCCACGAGGGTAGGACCCTCTTTTTGTTCTCAGATTTTAGGGTTTCCATGACTATGATTTTCCACTCAGTGACTTGCTTCTCTGGTGCAGCACCAAAAATCACATTCTCTTGTTACACCGGGATCATTTGTCCCCAATGGGCGGGATCATTTGTCCCCAATGGGCGCCGATCTTTGATGCCTACAAGGGGGAACCAAGTCAGCACATTCCAGTAAGTCAACGCTCTTGCAGTTACCAGCAACAATTACTGGTTCGTGTAGGGCATGCTAGAGTGAGCAGAGCCCAGAAGGCCAAGCCATTTGTAGTGTGTCAAATGGAGGGGCAGCAGCAGGTAGGACTAGGGGACCCGCAGGCAAAGTTCTGTGACTACTCCATTGCTCTGTGCCCCACACAGAAGCCGGGGGAGCAAGAAACGCTTTCTTGTCCCCTAGAAGGAGAGAAGGAAGGGAACTCTGATCTCCTTTTCCATTGCACCCCACACATAGTCCGAGACGTTAGACTTCTCACCATGCAGTGATTGGGTTACTAGAACCCGGAGGCCTTCTGCTTCACAAACTTCATTAGCCAGTGCCCCACCCTCACCCCACCCCAACATATACACCAGGATGTATAATTTTGGCCCACCCAGGATGGCTGTTGACAACTTCATTGGAACGAACAAAGAAGTGAAAAAGAGAACCTAGCAGGGCATCATCCTAACTCGTCCAGCCACAGAACGGGAGTGGGTAAGTGGGATCCCAGCCAGTGAGGATACAGAAATGCATTAGATGCGGCCGTCCACGCATCGTTATCCGTCCGTTTTACCGACGAGAAACAGACGCCGCAGAACAGCTAACGCGCCTGGAGTCGCGGGAAGCGGGACGTCAGCCACAGAGCCGGGAGCCAGGACTGGCGATCGCATGGCTTCCTGGAGCTCAGCGCTGCTGGGGTCGGGCCCGGTGGGTCCCTGCAAGTCTCACCCCAAGACACACGCGGGGCCTCGCTGCCCTCGCCGGAAGCTCCCGCCCGCGGGGACGCAGAGCGGGGACCCGGGCTACAGGGGGAGCGCCGCGGCAGTGCTCTCGCGCGGCGTCCTCACGCCTCCCACCGCCCGCCCCTTCCGGGCCCCGTGCGCTCCCGACTCCAGCGCGCTCCCATCCCGGCCGCCGGCTGGCACCGAGCGAGGCCCCCGGGTGCCCCCTGCAGACCGCAAGCCACATGCACAGGCCCCGGGTTCTGTCCTCTGCTGTGGCCGTTAGAAAGTCAGTGCCCAGTCCGTCACTGGGGAAGGAAGGGGCTCTGCTTTTGACAGTCCTGCCAGAGGATCCCCAAGGGGAAACCAAGTCCAACACGACCCAGGAGACAGGGCACGAGGTGCCTATCAGTTCAGAGACGTCACACTCCCATTTACTGATGTTGCACTTGCAAATGGGCAGCCCAGGGTGCCCTCTGTAGCAGGCGCGCCCGGCTGCCCAGGTTTCCCCGGGCTCTTTATGCTAAACTCGCTCGTGATTTAGGGCGGCCTGAGGTGACCAGGGGAGAAGTCCTGGGAGACAACGACCGAAGAAACCACGGGAACAGGCCGTCACGGGGAGGGCCTTCCCTGGCACGCCGGAGTAAACCGGAGCTCAGCTCTGATTCTGTCTGCCCCAAACGGAGAGATCAAGACCGACTATATTCGATTATTTACAGCAGGTCCGCTAATTACACAGTGGTTTCTGTCAAGGGCTAGAACTGCAATCTCCGGATTGGGGCACCCACGACTCCCCTGCGGGGCCTTTGTTTTCTCCAGGGCCCTTACCTGGCTCTTGTTGAATGCTAGTCCTTAATCCTAAACCAACAGCCTGGCCCAGGAAATCGAAGTCCCAACTCTTAAGTGGCATAAACCAATGGCTTCCAATCTCCCACACAGGGATTGGGTCGGCCCAGCTGCTCTTGAACTGGTCTAGACTCCAGCCTTTCTGGGAAGGTAGCCCCTGGCTGTCATGAGAGTAGCATTCACTTGACTACAGTCCTCAACCTCACAGGATATGAGGCAACCATGTCTAACAGGCTGGATTGAAGGACAGGTTTCCTTTGGTTCTCAGCATGACTCCCCAAGCCTGCACATTTCTTAAAACTTCTCCAAGGCCTCCTAGCAAATAAGGCTTAGGACCAGAAACCCGTGTGTCTGCATACAGAGCCTGCTGCAGGAAGGAGTAAGGTACCTGTGCGGATGTCACCGTGAGTTTTTATTATTTTTTAAATGACAGAACTCTGTGTGACTATTGGATATAGTAACAAATGTCAGCTTCATTTATCAGCCTGAAATGTATTCATTACTGTACGTCCAGATCTCATTCCCAACTCCTGGGCACTTGAACACCATGGGGACTGGGTTTGGGGCTGAGCAGAGATAGGTCCCTGAGCATAAGGAGAGAAATACGGATTTGCACCTGCTGAGCATTTCACATAAGCCAGGCCGGGTTCTCAACCTCTGGAAGAGTGGCTCATAGTCTGTGGTGTAGCCCACCTTCATGGTTATGCCTCACTCAAGACAGCAGAGGAGGGGGCCTTACTTACGAAGGCTAAGGATTCCCAAAAGGGGGCTTTGAAGGAAAGTGTAAGTTCCAACATACTCTGAGGACCAGTACTCTTCCTAGGAGGGGTGGGGTGGGAGGGACAGGTTCTGGGGTGTTCCTCTCTCTCTGAGCTTTCAAACTGCTTCAGCAAGCTGTGGAGAATCCCTGGGAGGGAAGAATGAATCCTAAGAAAAGCTTTGGGAGGAAAAGTTAAACATGGGCTCTTGACTCAAATGAAATCTAGGAGCACAAACTGGGTGAGAGAGCTGAAGTTTGTCCAAGCCCAAGAGGAGAAATGGCAGGGAAAGAATTAATGTCTTCATGTCAGTAGGGAAATGGGTAAAAAGAGATAACCATGAGCTAGCTCAGCAGGTAAAGCCACTGGCCAGACAGCCAGGCCACCTGAGTTTGATCCCCGAAAACCCACATAAAGGTGGACGGAGAGAATCAAGTCTACCAAGTTGTCTTCTGAACTCTGCTGTGGCACATGCCCCACCACATACCAATAATAAATAGATAACTACTACTCTGGTTTTCCCCAAATACCACTTTCTACTTTTCCTTCAGCCCCAGAAGGGAGCCAAGGCCACAACACACTGCTGCTTTTCCCAATGTAGGCACCTGGGAGTTACCCAACTCCAGCTCCACAGCCCACAAATAGCCTGGAACCCAAAGAAACTATCAAAGGTCTGTTGCAAACAGTCACTGTTCATGAAAGTGGCATTCCCTAGGTAGGTAACAGGGTCACCCCTGCCAAGTGCAGGAGGCCCAGGCCCAGGCTTACTGACTCTACAGTGACTTCTTCACGAGACTGGCCTCAGTAGTAGGCTGTAGGACTGACAATGGAGGGGACTTTTGTTCCTCCCCACTATGCAAGAACCTGTCTCTGCAAGGTCCTCCCAAATGAGGGAACAGAGAGCAGGTGTACAGACAGAGCTGGCCCAGGCTCGGCTAAGCAAGGCAGAGGGTGCAGGTAGCTGGTATTATTCCTGCTCAAAGATTTCAAGCTGGAAGAATGAGAGAGCCACCAAATGAGAGACCTGGGACCAGAAGATCCCGAGGAAGAGGGGCTCTAGAGGCCCAGACCTCAGACCCTGCTGTTGTCTGGCAGAAGGCAATAGCATTCAGGTGTAGCGGGAGACACGCCGATCTTGACTTGAGCCCAGAAGATGGTACTGTGGTCTATCTACATCTCAACTCTGACAAAGCCACAGGCAACCTAGTGGGGTTCTGCCAGCAACACGGCAGTGGAGGCGGTGAGACAGAACCAAGGCAGGAAAGCATGGCTATCACTAGGGCCAGGTGACTCAGACATTCTAGAAAGAGACACCAAGTAACTGCAAGAGCAATTTCTCTCTCTCTCTCTCCTCTCTCTCTCTCTCTCTCTCTCTCTCTCTCTCTCTCTCTCTTTCTCCCTCCCTTCCTCCCTCCCTTCCTCTCTCTCTCTCTCTCCTCGTGTTTTTTCCTTTAAAAAAAGACAGAGAAGCAATTATGTACACAATACTGTCAATTCCTCAACCATGAACACGGTGTGCGCCACTATGGCTTGGTCCTCGTCGTTCATCCTGTGCTCTGTAGCATGCCCTCTCGGGCCACCACTCAAGTATCTAGGAAGCACTGCAGCCTGCTCCAGAGGCTCCTACTCCAGTAGCTGCAGCTACATGGCTGAGCCCCCCTGTCGGGTCTTTCCCTGAAGATCCACAGCCCTGACAGTGCAGAGCCAGAAGGAAGCGCTGTCTGTCCTGTCTCGCCTCACTTCCACCAGGGACAATTCTGTTTGCCATGTGTCATTGCAGGCAGGACATCAGAGCTTATGGGCCAGGAGAGTGGTCAGCTTGATCTTGCCATCCATGGAGGCCGTGAGGCATGTCCCACAGTCCATGGCGGTGCTCCAGTCCACAGTGACCACAGGGGCCCGGTGGCCACCCAGACTCAAGCAGCTCTCTAGAACTTTTTCATCGCCGCCCAGCTGCAAAAGGACAGCAGTGAAGGGAAACATTAATAGACGCATACACACAGGTACACACAAACATACACTTCCATTCAGTTTTAATGTCCCAAAACTACCTTGAGCCTGGAGTAGCCTGGCCCACACTGCTATCTTTTTTTTTAAATGTATAAACAGGAACAAAAACAATGAGGACTCCCCAGGTGGTAGTCAAGCCTTTAATCCTAGTACTTGGGAGGCAGAGGCAGGCCTGAGTTCAAGGCCAGTCTGGTCTACAGAGTTGCAGTATAGCCAGGGCTACACAAAGAAACGTGGTCTCGAAAACAAACAACAAGAAAAGCAATGGGGACAAGATAGCAAGAAGGCGCAGTGGGTACAGGCACTTTCTGCAAGACTGAGGACCTGCCTTTGATCCCCAGGAATCACATGGCGGGAGAAAAGAACTGTCCTCTGACCTACACATACACAATGTGCCATACATGTACCTACATACAAAAATAAAAAAAAAATGCAATCAAGTCTTTTTAAAAGACAAAAGAACAAAACCAAACAACAACAGGTTGCTGGCTCAGTGGTTAAGTCCTTGCTCTTGCTGAGGACTGGACGCTTCCCACGCCTAGAACTGTGTAGGGTTGTTCATAACCACCCATAAATCTAATTCCACAACATCTAACCTTTTCTCCATGGTAGCATACACATGTGCATAAATACATACACATAAAGATAAAATACATCTTTAAAAATAAAAACCACGTAGACAACTTGCATCCTACCTAGCTTCACAAAGGACACCCTCAAATTTCTGTCCACACATGGACTCTGGTGTCCTGACCCACAGGCCTCCCATAAAATAACTATTCTAGATCAGCGATGAAAGCAATCTACCTAGCTCAGATCCATGAGGTGTATTTCCCTGCCCAAATTCCCAAGCCCTTTGCCCTATCTAATGTCTTCCTTAGTAGGTATTATTCCCAAGGAATAAGACAAGAAAAGGCCAGAATCTTATCAGATGCAGGACACAGGACACGGGGTCACACTTAGCTATGCAGGACACAGGACACGGGGTCTCACTCAGCTATGCAGGACACAGGACACGGGGTCACACTCAGCTATGCAGGACACAGGACACGGGGTCACACTCAGCTATGCAGGACACAGGACACGGGGTCACACTCAGCTATGCAGGACACAGGACACGGGGTCACACTCAGCTATGCAGGACACAGGACACGGGGTCACACTCAGCTATGCAGGACACAGGACACGGGGTCACACTCAGCTATGCAGGACACAGGACACGGGGTCACACTCAGCTATGCAGGACACAGGACACGGGGTCACACTCAGCTATGCAGGACACAGGACACGGGGTCACACTCAGCTATGCAGGACACAGGACACGGGGTCACACTCAGCTATGCAGGACTCAGGACACGGGGTCACACTCAGCTATGCAGGACTCAGGACTCAGGACACACTAAGCTGGGATCAGCCAGGCTGACCCCAGGAGAAGCCTGTCCAGCAGGACTCTGCTGCCCACCGTTACCTTGTAGATGACGCCCCCCGAGGCAGAGCACGTGAGCATGTGGTTGCCCTCTGAGTCGAAAGCGAAGAGCCGGCCCCTGGGAACTTGAACCTGTTTGTAGCCACTGTAGCCAGACAGGACAAAGGGACCAGTGGCATCTGAAGGGAGGCTGTGTTCGGTCACCTTGAGGCCACTCTTATGAATGTTCCACTGGATGAACTGCAGACACAAGGCACCACAGGGGCTCCCTCAGACATTCACACAGAGGTCATGACCCAGGCTCCCTGGGTGCCCCCCACAGTGGTCACCATGTAGGCCTGGGAGGCAGGGCCAGAGCTGACCCCAGGGAGTGATTGGCCAGGGCCACTGCCTCCCTTGCCAGTTCAACAGCCCTGAAAAAGCCTTTCACGGGCAGGAAGCAGCACAAGGCTGTGGGGATCACAGTCCACCCCTCAGCCCCATTTCTCACTAATACATGCTTTTTCAGGCAGAAAAAAAAAAGTCTAGGAAACAATGAACAACTTCACATCAAAGGTCAGAAAACTTCCTCTTTCCTCTGGTCTAAGTTCAAGAGAGGACAAGGGACAGTCACCAGCTTTGGAGGGCCTTCTGGTCTCTTGGGTAGGGTTGGGGCAGGGATGCCTAGAGTCTCTGGACCTTGGAACAAAGGGCAGATCCAAACCCATTTTCAGTTTCTCGGCAGTACATCACATGCTGAGTGGCATGTTCTAGGTTTCACTTGTGACGTGGATAATTAACAGCCTACACTGTGGCCTGGCTACTTGGCTTCCCTGGGAGTCCTACCCACACAACAGGATGTTAAGCTTTAACTTAAAAGTCCTACAGGGACTATTCAAAGGAAGAACTGAAACAGAACACTGTGGTATACATCTGTAATCCCGTCCCTAAGGGAGACAGAGGCAGGAGCATCTTGGAGCCCAGGAAGTTGAAGCCAACCTGAATGTGGTCTCAAAATAACTTAAGTAAATACATAAATAAATCAATATAGTTAGGTGGCTCACATCTGTTATACCAGCACTTAGGAGGCTGAGGCAGGATTGCCCCAAATTTGAGCCCAGCCCTGAGCTATAGAGGAAAATATGATCTAACAAATAAATACATAAATATTTGTTTTGTAGTCACTGTTTTCAGTGGGGAACATGAACAGTATAATATCCCACAGATTCAGGAGGGTGTATGAGACAAAGAAGTCTTTCTTCTGCCTCTGCCTACCCTCACTTTCTGTCCAAGGCCAGTCATTCCTACTTCCTAATATAACTTCTACAGAGGAAATCTACAAATCTACAAATTATCTTATACTGTCTTAGGAGACACAGGTTTCCTTTTACTTCTTTGGGCTTTGCTCAGACCTGTTTCACAACAGTATGCTGACTCCAGCATTGTCTCGTGACCATGACCGCAACTCACCAAAGAATATGTTCCCCTACACGTGCTTCCATCGATGGTGGGATCTGTCAGTTTTGCCACAACTAGAAAAACGGATTTGGAACTCCCATAGTCTAGTCCCATTGAGCTCACTGAACCCCACAAAGAGGCTCGGTGATGGACTTCTAGGTATCCCTATTTTGCAGAAGATGAAATAGAGGCAGAATGAAGCCAAAGGCCACAGAGCTCACGGATGGTGTGGCCTCCACTAAATGCTGCGGGCACCTACCTTGCCATCCTCGCCAATGCTGTACACGGCATTCTCATCACAGCTGAATTCCACGGAGTAGACCTCTCCGAAGTGGGCCTTCCAGCTCATGGCACACTCATGCTGCTGCATGTCTGAGAGGGGTAGACACTACTCAGCTTCAGACCACACCTGGAAAGGCTCCATGTATAGCAGGGGCCCTCGCCCTCCTCGGTGACAGCTACTCTAGAGGACAGGGGCCTCCTGGACCAGAAAGTGCTGGCCCTGCCAAGGCCACCTGCCTCTGGGCAGCCTCTTGACTGGGCCAAGGGGAGGACTGGAGGTTGTTGGGGACAGCTAGAGCTCACCTGAGGGGTGGGGGGTCCTGTAAGTCTAGGAAGACATAGGCATCCTTCCTACTACACCTCTATAATTGTCCCCAGGATGCCCTGGGTATCTGTTACATAGGGGTCATCTTATCCCATTCCAGAACCTAGGCCTGTCTCCCTGGGTACAGAGGACACAGGTGAATAGGATGACACTTTTCTCCTGCAACCTCCTGAACTCCACACAGATGACAAGGACTCAGGTCAATCAGCTTGAGACCAAAGGACTACTGAGCTCTGTCCCCTCCCATGTCTACAGACAGTAAGCACAGATAAGCTGACTGTGGTGGAAGTTTTGAGAACACAGCAAAGTCAAGCAATAGAATACGCACTGGGAACTGGGCCTTACAATGGCCTCAGCTCCCACTGGGTCATTTAAGGAGGGGGCCAGGATTGTCACAGCACAACTTACCAAAGAGCCGGATGACACCATCGGCTGCCCCTGTGACCAGCAGGTTGCCATTGTGGTTGAAAGCAGTGCAGTTGATGGCAATGGGCTCCGGCTCCAGTGAGAACTGAAGCTATGAACACAAACAGGCACACCATTGGCAGACTAGTCCAATGCAGACACCCCACTGGATCCTCGCTCCATGGCCTGAGTCTCACTCGGTGAGAGCACACTGACTGACTGACTGACTGATGTGCTCTTTGAGAGGCAATAATCCAGGCCAGGGCAGTTACAAGTAACCGGTATCTCAGTGGCCCATGCGTTCTTTCTCAAGTGGACTCCAAGCTTGGTCTTAATGAACACGCCTGTTGACAGACATCAGGAACTAACAATCCATCAGCTGCCTTCCACTACAGGAAGCCCTGAGTGACGGAGGACACATGCATCTCAAAGCTGCTCCAGTCCCTTCCTATGGAGCCCAGCATCTCCACAGGACCTCACAAAGTCACCTCAGAAGATGTAAATAAGGTCTACTAATCTGATAACGATAACGAGGAACACTATTTCCAACGATATGGAAGCCTCCTGGGACTAAAATTGCAAGACCGTGTTGGATGATGTCATTCACACACAGGTCCAGCATTGAACTGTAAACAAAGGGGTCCTCCAAGACCAAAGGCAAGGGAGGGCAAGAGCCTTGAAGTTTAGAGAACCCAACAGGAAAGGAACTCTCAGAAGCCTGAAGCCCACATGAACAGCCTGGCCACGTCCAGTGTTAAAAACCTTCCACATGCTGCTAAGACTCCAAAGAGAGGCATCCTCTGTGAAAGAATGAACTAGAACTTCACAGAAGGGCTGGAGAGATGGCTCAGCCCTTAAAGGCTAGGCTCACAACCAAAAAAAAACTTCACAGAAAGTGCACCTCTCTGCCCAGCAGAACCACAGGCAGCAGGGGGTTTACAACCAAACTCACAACCCCTTTGTAATCTGAGAATGGATTTCAAAGTGTTCATCTGTTAGTGGAGCCCCCAGTCACCCAGCAGAAGTGAAGGCAAAATTTTCTAGAGAAATGCACCCTCCTACAACAAGCCTCAGTATATCAACAAGGATAAAGGGCCAGAGATGGAAACTGAAGTAAAAATTCACAGGACACGGGAAGGTAAGGGGAGAGAAGCAGGCATCTGAGGAAACGGCTGGCCGGGAGCAGCTACTGGATGGGATTACCAGAGCACTGTGGAACATTCAATATGTTTAACAGAATGCCAGAGTGTGAGGCAGAAGAGGGGACGGTAGCATGACCACACCGGTGTGAAAGGATGACACTGCATTCCTGGAAATGAGAAACAGGACTTGAAACTAATGTCCCCACAGGCTCATTTGAAGATCGGGGACAGTGAGGAGGACCTGTGCTCTGTTAAAGCTGAGGATGTGATCTCATGAAGACAGCAGAGTGAAACAAAAGGAGAAGAGTCCTAAAAAAACCCATCAAATTGGTGTTCCAGAAGGCAAGAGAAATGTTAACACTGGAAAGAACATGACTAAGAATTTTCCAGAACTGGACAAAGACACAAATCCTCTCATGCAGGAAAGGGAACAAATCCAAAGCTGCAATTTTAATTCCATTTATTTATTGAGGCTGGAAATTTTATTTTATGATTATTAACAGTTTTGAGGCAGGGTCTTGTGCATCGGAGACTAACCTAGAACTCCTGATCCTCCTGCCTCTGCCTCCTAAGTGGTAAATGTATAGACATGCACCACACCAAGTTAGAGCTTTCGCTTGTTTGTTTGTTTTGTTTTTAAGCTTAGAAAATCCACACTGAGACACCCAGATCAGATCTTAAAATAGCCAAAGACAGAGGAGGGTGAGCAGCGCTGAGAGCCAACCTCTTTGTTTCAGCACAGGCTGCCAGAAGAGAAGACAGGACAGACAGTTAGTGGGTGGACCTGTTTCCAACTAGAATACAGAACTCTAGAAAAACACATGCCCTGGGATTCCACTCACATAAAGCCTGGAGGCCCCTGAAGCAGAAACTGCAATGTGTGCATGATCGACCCACCCGTGTGCTAAGGCACCTGTTAAACTGCCAGGAGACAGCAACTCAATACTCACACAGGATCTCTGTGAAATGGGAAACGTAAAAGAGACCGGAAGGGCCCATGAGCATAAGAACTGATGGGTTCAAAAAGATGGCTCACTGGGTAAAGGTGCTTGCCACCTTACCTGAGTTCAACCACTGGGCCCCACTAGGTACCACTGCTCTAAGCAGGTGAGGGTTCATCTCTTCTCTCCAGGGCTACACTAACAACTGTAAGCACTACATTCTGGAGAATACAGGCCCTCAGCTCCAGGGAGGTGGGCCACACACTAGACTCCCTGACAGATGTCACCCCACCCTTAGTACTTTAACTTACTAGGAGTGGGTCAGAGAAAGACTGGAGCCGTCTGCCGAAATATAAAATACACAGCCTGTTGGTGGGTTCTGGGTAACCCAAATCTACGGCACAACTCTATTGCTCATAGTCTGCCCAACTGGGGCATGATACTGTCCAACACTTAAAACCTGAAAATGTTCTCGCAAATAAAAATCCTCAGGTGAAAAGATACACATCAAAAACTCAGGAGTGTGGGCGGCGGGCGCCCTCCACACAGGCTGCCCTCCAGGCAGCACGCCCACTCCCGGGAGACCCACAGGCTGGTCCTATACCTGCTGCTTCATGGTTTTGGTGTCCCACAGCAGCAGTTTGCCAGGAACCTGGTTCACGCCTTTGCTGCCAATATCCAAGGCCACGGAGTCCGCCTGAGAGGTGAGGCTCAGAGCTGCAGCTGAACAGACGAAAGAGGCCCCGTTGGGGCTGCAGGCAAGAGACAGGATTCTGCAACACACACAGGCTGGAGTCAGACGGTCACCACCACAGGCTCTGAGGTGAATCCCACTCCAGGAGGTGGGGTCCACAAAGGAAGTGCAGCAATCCGAGTTACCGTGCATGAGGAGGCCCCTGCTCACCTGGGCATGTCATCGTTGATGTTGATCTCACAGAGGTTCTTCTTGGCTTCTGTATCATAAAGACGAACCGTCCCCACACCACTGCCCAGGAGGAGCTGGAATGAGAAGAGACAGGAGGCTGAGGAGGACAGCACAGGGGCCAGGGAGGACTACAATATTGAGAGACCAGGCCCACTCCCATATGGTGTGGAGCTTGGCAGGCTGCAAGGGCGAGCTCCTTACCCACTTATCCGGGCACCCAGAGAAACTTGGCTACAATGGACCTCACTTAAAATGCCATGAAGAGGGGCTGGAGAGATGGTTCATTGGTTAAGAAAGCTAGCTGCTCTTCCAGAGGACCAGGCTCCATTCCCAGCACCCAGACAGCATCTCACAACCCTCTAAACTGCAGTTCCAGGGGATCTGATGCCCTCTCCTGCCTCCTCAGGCACAGACACATATGTGGTGCATAGACATACATGCAGACAAAATATAAAATAAAGATTTTACTTTGTTTTTTTGGATTTTGAGACAGGGTATCTCTGTGTATCAGCTCTGGCTGTCCTGGAACTCACTCTGTAGGCCAGGCTGGTCTTGAATTCAAGATATCTGCCTCTGCCTCTCAAGTGCTGGGATTGAAGGTGTGCACCATTACCACTCACCTGATTAAATATGCTTAAAAAAATGTCATGAAGACATCAAAGTCGACCTTGAATAGATGCAAAACCACAGGTCATCTGCTTTGATCTAAATCTGGTCCTGGCAGCTTGGTCCCCAGTGTTTTGTTGTGAAAGGGATAGGACACTGAAGAGTTGGGACTAAGTAGAAGGTGATTAGACCATGGGAACATCGCTCTCAGGCAAGATTAATGATGGGCTCAGTGTGAATCTGTTCTCCCTTTAGAGATGCTGAAAGCAAGCTTTGCCCTGACTCCCTTTCTGGCTTCCTGTCTCTCCATGGGATCTTTCCCTTTGGCACAAGCTCCCATCATGATGCAGGTGCTGCAGCCAAGAGAGCCTTCACCAGGATGGAACAGACGCTGGAACCACATTCTTGAACCTATAGAATTGTGGGCCAGATAAACTGCTTTTCCTCATAAAACATCCAGCCTCGAGTATGTTGTTATAGCAACAGAAAGAAGACTTCCATGGTGTCTGTGGAAGAGGACAAACACTCAGAAATATTTTGGCTGGTTACCAGAGTCCCTTTTAACCTTTCCCTCCTTCCTTTCAGCTTTAAATCACAGTCGTTCCAACCCTTTCTTGTTGATCCTACTTTTTCTGTCCGTCCGTAGGCATGGCCCTGGCCAGTCTTGGGCTATGGTGACTGTTCTATTTGTCTTTGCAAGGAAAGCTCTGGCCCTGGTTCCATCAAGGACTCCAAAACTTAGAGAGTGGGTCCTCCCTGACTCTGGGACCTTAGGACTCATTTGGATAAAAGCACAGAAGAGAATAACAGAAATTAATGCCAGAGCATCCCAGGTCTGGGGTATCCCCCGGAATAGTAGCTAGGCAATGCCTCTGCACCCACTTGGCCAAATAACATTAGTTCAGTGACAGCCCTGAGATAAGGATCCTACAAGGACAATTCCTTCCTATGTTTTCTAGACATCTGGAAAAAATCAGTGTCTATCTCTTGAGCGGCAAGCAATCAAGTTTAACTCCTTAACTGCAAACCCTGTCTCAAATAGAAAGTCCAGTGGGAAAATGAACACTGGGCCAGTCCTGGAGCGACTGGGCCTGTGGGAACCACAAACTAGAACACTGTCCCATCACCCACATAAGCTGCGGCTCTTTGAGCGGCAACAGACAGGTCTCAGCAAGAGGAGACGGTGTACTAATAATGTATCAGAAACATGAGCGGTGTGTGTGGGGGGGTACCAGGAGTCTCCCAAGACAGACAGGCAGACAAGATCAGGTCTTCCACGGTCTCCAGGGATAACCTCACGGCCACCCCAAGCAGGAACCTGCTGGGCCATTCCTAGATGTATGCTTCTGGCCCCACAATGGTGGCAGCCAGGGAGGAGATTCAGCTTACCTCCTCAGCTTGGCCTGTCAAGAGCCTCCAAGACTGAACTTGTGAGCAAGCTCTGCATACAAAGTGTCACTTACCAGCCTGTCTCGCTTGGTGGCCCACTCTAGAGAGAGCAGTGGTGACTTAGAAATGGAGGACGCTTTGGTCTGCATGATGGGGTTGAAGGACCACACTTTGATGACCCCATCCACGTCTAAGCTGGCAACTCTCCTACCAGAGCAGTCCACTCTGTAATAGGACAAAGGGAGGTGTTAGTGTCCTGGCCTCTAAGGCCAACAATGATACGGTCACTTTCCCAACTTTCCAATTGCATTAAAAACTAATGTTCCAGGCCTGCATTCCATAAAAAAAAACATTCATTCATCCAAGAAATACTATAGGGCACCAGGAACATGGCCTCTCTTTTTGATAAAAGTAAGTAAAGATCTTTATTGCATAAGCCTGGTGAATTGACTCAGATTCCTGGAACCCATAACCAGGGGAGAACCAATTCCCAAGAGCTGTCCTTTGACCTCTATATGCATGTGTATATTTATACACACGACAAGCACACATCCACACAATAAGAAATACATAAACAAACAAACACACTGTGCCATGCAAGGCTGTGAAGGGAACACGTGAGATGAGCAGAGTGTGCCCCCAGGGCACCTGCCATCTGAGGAGCGTGTCGTCCCCGGGCCTCCCCCTCCCCACCCCGTTAGGCTCCAGATCAACCCAAAAACCAAGCACAGATCGGGGCTGTCAAAACATGAAGCTGCCTATGCCCTGAGGGCACACTCCCTCAGCAGTTGTCCCTCAAGGCCATGCTTTCACTCTGTTTAAATACATACTTAAACATGGTCAAAATTTCCATACAGACACTAACACAAAGCCAATAAAACTGAGTGGTCTGAGGGAGACCGCTACAGCAGTGGCACCTGTCCAGCAGGACTCTACTGACCCTTTCAGGGACACTTCCTGCCACCAACATTCTCACACTAGAGAAGCCCCGCCCCCACTCCTGGGCCCACCTGCAGTGCATGATGGACGAATGGTGCTCCCCATACTCCTCCTGGCTCAGCACTATGAAGGGCTGCTCGGGGCGGCCTCCCTCAGAGCCTGCTGTGGACACCCGGGCCAGTGGCTCTACTGGCCCCATGTGGAGTTCCAGGCAGGGCTCAGCTTCTGGGCCACTGCCTTCCGGCTTCTTCTCCATGCACTGTGACCAGCAAAGTGGGGACACATCAGTTTACACAGGGTCTCCCTCACCACACGAACACACTAGATGACTATGGGTGGTCACTGCCCCACGAGGTCAGCTCTGAGCTTGGAGAGCTATGCGCAGCTCCCCTGGGAAAATAGGGTGCCAGCTTCCTGGGAACTGCAATCTTCTCACAGGCCCTGGCTGGGGAGAGGGCTGGCCTTGTCCTCTCTGATGGGAGTCATCATGACTGTGTCTTGTCCTGGTGCAGGCCAGACAGAGGCTAAGGTCTCAGTCAGGGTTACTAGCGCATGTTGAAACACCATGACCAAAGCAAATTGAGGAGCAAAGGGTTTATTTGGCTTATGCGTCTACATCACTTTTCAAAATCAATAGAAGTCAGGACAGGAACTCAAACAGGGCAGGAACCTGGAGGCAGGAGCTGATGCAGAGGTCACAGAGGAGTGCTACTTACTGGCTTGCTTCCCATGGCTTGCTCAGCCTGCTTTCTTATAGAATCTAGGACCAGCAGCCCAGGGATGGCACCCATAGTGGGCTGGGCCCTCCCACATCAATCACTAATTAAGAAAAATGCCCTACAGTAGTGGATCTCAACCTGTGGGTCTTGACCCCGATAGGGGTCACATATCAGATATTCTGCATATCAGACATTTACATTATGATTCGTAACAGTAGCAAAATGATAGTTATGAAGTAGCAATGAAATCCTTTTATGGTTGAAGGGAGGTCACTACAACATGAGGAACTGTATTCAATGGTTGCAGCATTAGGAAGGTTGAGAACCACTGTCCTACAGGCTTGCCTACAGCCCGATATTATGGAGGCATTTTCTCAGTCGTGGTTCCCTCCTCTCAGATGACTCTAGCTTGTGTCAAGTTCACACAAAACTAACCAGCACAGGCCGAGCGTTGGTGGCGCACACCTTTAATCCCAGCACTCAGGAGGCAGAGGCAGGTGGATCTCTGTGAGTTCAAGACCAGCCTGGTCTCCAGAGAGAGTGCCAGGATAGGCTCCAAAGCTACACAGAGAAACCCTGTCTTGGGAAAAAACAAAAAAACAAAAAAAACTAACCAGCACAACTGACCCCTTGTCAGCTTGACACACAAACACAGCACTATTAAGCCACAACTTTTCCTTTTTTGTTCATAACCAAGATCTCACATTAATAAAGGCATCATAATATAAAACATTTCATACACTTAAAAAGTCCCACAGCCTTACAAATTCAAACACTTTGGAAGTTGTCTCTCTCTAAAAATATCTAGCCTCTTTTAAAACCCAAAGTTCTGTAAAACTCCAGAATCTATTTTTTAAAAGTTTAAAAGTCTCCCAGCTGTGAGCTCCTGTAAACTCAAAAACAAATAATTTCTTACTTCAAGAGGAAAGAAGCAGGGCACAGTCCCAATCTGAACAAAGCAAAACCAAACTCCAAGAATATAAATAACTCAATGTCCAACATCTGGGATTTACTCGTGAAGTTCTGGGCTCCTCCAACAGGCTTCTGTGGCTCCACCCTCTGCAGTACACATAGCTGGTCTTCTGAGCTCTAGCAGGCTCCACTCCTCTGCTGCTGCTGTTCTTAGTGGTTGTCCCATGGTACTAGCATCTCCAAATTGCTGGGGTCTCTGCTACAAATAGCCTCTCCTGGACTCACTTCATGGTGTCAAGCCTCAACTTCTCTTAATGACCCCTTCAATCATAGGGCTTCAACTGCAACTGAGGCTGCACCTTCACCAGTGGCCTCTCCTGGCCTCTTCCAGCGCCAAGCCTCAGCAGCTCTCTGTGACCCCTGCATGCCTTCAAAACCAGTACCACCTATGTGAGTCTTAACTACCAAGTTTGGTTACCAGCCCGGGATACAACCTTGACTGGCCCTGGAACACAGCTTCTGGTGGTGACTCTCAGAAAACATTTCCCAGAAGATTTCACCTCAGTGATGCTGGTCTCTTCTTAATCATGGCTAATTTCTCAGCTGACCAGCATCAATTGTCCTGGGAGAGCAAAGGTGTCTGTTCAATGGTGCTGGTCTCTTGTAGATCACAGCTGACTCTTTGGCCCCAACTGACCAAAACACAAACACTTCATTCAAAATAGCAAATACACAATGGCCCTGATAGTCTTTAAGTAACTGTCAAACTTCCTTCAGAAACTGCATCGTCTGCATTTCTCTTAACATTCATTTCTTCCAAGCTCTCACAGAACAGCTCACCAAGCTTTGAATACTTGATGGGTCTTCTCATCCAAAGTTCCAAAGTTCTTCCACAATCCTCCCCAAAATAATATGGCCAGGCTGTCACAGCAATACCCTTCTATCCTGGTACAAGTTTCTGTCTTAAGTTGACAACTGCTGTGATTTAAACACCATGACCAAAGCAAGTGGAGGAGCAAAGGGTTTATTTGGCTTCCGAGTTTTCACTGTTCTTCATCAAAGGAAGTCAAGACAGGAACCTGGAGGCAGGAGCTGATGCAGAGGCCATGGAGAGGTGCTGCTTACAGGTTTGCTCCATAGGACTTGCTCAGCCTGCTTTCTTACAGAACTGAGGACCACCAGCCTAGGGGTGGCCCCATCCATGATGGGCTAGGTCCTCCCAAATGAATCACTAATTAAGAAAATGCCCTACAGCCTTGCCTAAAGCCTGGTATTATGGAGGTAATTACTCAATCAAGGTTCACTCCCTCATATGACTGTAACGTGTGTCAAGATGACATGAAACTAGCCGGCACAGGTAGGGCACAGGGTTTAACGAGAGTTGACTGTGGTTAGCCCCTGTGCCGAGTGGCTCACAGCTTATCCCTGACTTATGTCTTAATGCTACCACTCACAGCTGTGGACACTGGACTGAAGCAGAAGCTAGGCACCTTAGGGCACCGGCTGGCAGAGGGGAGAACTTGGGTATGGCAGTTTACCCATGCCAGCCAGCATCTCCTCCTGATAAGGGGACCAAGGAAACCGAGGCCAGTGGTCAGGCATGGAGAGGCCTGACAACCTCCACATCAGCCCAGCATCTGCGTCCCTGTGGTACCAAGAGTCCTTCCCCACAATCCCTTAAATAGACAACAGGGCCAGACCGGGAGAAAGTATACAAGAGAGTGAGCCGGTAAGTCACTTGGGCTTTTGACAGAAACAGCTTACACTGCCAGCAAGAACAGATGCTATCTCACATTCTCAGAGCAAGAGACCCCTGTCTCCAGGGCTCTCCATAGGGATGATATGGCTGTAGCATCTTACTAAGCAAGTACATGGCTGTCAGCACAATAGCCCCTCAGCAGGGACTCTGGGGGAGCAGAACAAAGCGATGCTGTGAGCTACTGTGTCAGACTCTGAGGAGATCAAGTCTCCAGTCCCATGCTGCCACACACAGGTCACCCGTGGGAAGGACTGGTATATTGGGGTCCTCAGAACTCATAGAGACCTTTCTGGCCCCACTTGAGGAAATGCTACCAGGAGAAAAGCAGGCAAAACAGAACCCAAACCCCAGTGTGATAACAACCAACCAGGCCAGCGCAGCCCCTGCCTGGCAGCAGAACTCAGAGGAAACCCAAAGAGTCCCTCAGCAGCCTGGGAACCCTATACCTGGGAGGAGGAGGTGGAGAGCAGCTCCCTCCTCTCCTTGCCATGGTCCTGCAGACGCCGTTGGCGCTGATGTGTCCAGCTGGCATCCCCAGGCACTGGTCCGCTCAGAAGGCTCTTCCCATCCTTGGCCCCGGACACTGGGTCCTTTCCCTTGGTAGCCTAGAGAATGACAAACAGTCTGTGAAGAGTCTCTTCCAGGCTGTGTAGGCGGTGACGTTGGACCAGGAAGGATACAAATGCTGGGGAGCTCCCAGGCTGGCCTGGGCAGGAGGTTCAAACCAGTCAGGCAGGCCTCTAGACTGAGCTCCTCCTGGCCCAGTCACCCACTGGCCTCAGTCTGTGCTCTCACAGAAGCAGAGAGAATCCTTTCGACCCAACAGCAATCATCAAATTTTGTTACAGTTTAGGAGCCCAGTATTTACTAGCAGGCCAGGTCCCACACTGGGTAATATCAACATTATATGTAACATAACAACATTTAGACAATACGAAATACACACATACACATCAGCCAATCTCCTCTACAGTGAAAAAGAAATACAATACAGTCTGTTGTTTGGGTCCAACTTCAGGACTAAGCTGCCTGTTGGTGGGCTCTGTGGCAGAGCACTTGTCTAGCAGACAGTAAGCCTTGGGTTTGATCTCAAGAGCAGCAAAATACAACAAACAAAAAGGCCAGATCCACTAAATCACTGGTTTAAAAATGACTGAACTACCAGACATTTTTAAGAGAACTTATCTGGAAACTCAAGGATCTCTGTGTAAGATAAATTAGAAAGGAAAGGCAAATGACATTTTTCTGGCTTTTTTTTTTTTTTTTTTCATTCTAAGAGTGGTAAGGCCCAAGTCTAGGGGGAAAGGAGGAATCTAGTGCTCTCCACCAACCCCAAGACATCGCTCCCCTTTCCCTCAGGAAGTGGGGGGGGGGGGTGAAGACAGTGGTACAGTGTGACTGCAGGGCAGCAACACAAATCTACCAGAGGGCAAGGAGTAGCTCCCCAAGGTTGGCCCTGACTGCCACACCAGTGCTGAACATGCATGCACATGTCTGTCTGTCTGTCTGTCTGTCTCTCTCTCTCTCTCTCCCTCTCTCTCTCTCTCTCTCATGCGCGCGCGCGCGCACACACACACACACACACACACACACACACACACACACACACACGTTTTAATTTTTTTAATGTGTTCTGAGATTCCATTTTATACACATCACGCTGGCCCATAGCTCCAAGGTTGGGCACCAGATGCTGCTAGTGAGGCTATGGAGAAGCAGGAACTCTCAACCACTCCTGATGGAAACACAAAATGAGAAAACCCAAACGGAGACTGTAGGGAAGAAAGCGTTCTTTACGTTATCTTTTCAACTGGTCGGTGAGGTAGGAAGTGAGTAGGAGCAAAAGGGCTAAAAACATAAGTGAAAGAGAAGCCACAATACAATGAAAGTGAAGAAATTCAAACAAATTCCTAAAATGCCTGCTGAGACTCTCTGTAAGTACAGGACACTAGAGTGAGGGACAGAAGATGCCGGAAGAACTGTGCACTCACTAGATGATGACACCTGCCCACCAGGAGACTCAGCCCCTTTGAGAGTTTCATCCATTCAACCGTCAGGCCTCCTTCGTACTATAATCCTCATTTGACAGCAGCTGGCAGCCTGCCTGGGCCCTGGCTATTGACAACTATGTGCTGGTGGCTGACTGAGGCCGCAGGGCACTGAGTGTCTGCCAGGACAGCTCTAACATCACCTCTCTTCGTTGTATGACAGGTTGGGTGTTCCTTATCCACCAAGCTGAAGACCACATGTGTGTTGGGTTTCATTTTTTCAGGCTTCAGAATATTTGCAGACATATTATGAAATGTCTTGGGGATGTGACCCACATCTAAACAGGAAATGCATTGATGCTTTGTATACTTTTTATACACACAGCATAAAGATGATCGTATGCAATAGTTTTAAAGGCCTGGGGACTTAGTGGTAGAGTGCTTGCCTGTTGTATGCACAGCCCTGGATTTGGCCCCTAGTACTGGAAGACAGATATAACAAAACCCAACAAACACCCCACCCTGGATAGTTTGCGTTCCACATTCCTAGACTGCAGATACCTGCCCCATATAAGCAGAACGCCCGAGGAACTATTTTGCTGGCAATTTCATTTAACAGAAAGTAAAGGAAGTGGGAAAAGATCCACCATGCTGGGCTCATCATGGACTTCCATGGTTGGCCACACTCCTGTGATAAAAAGTCTAGGAGAAAAAGTGACTCCACTAGGATGAGTGAAGACAAAGGGATTGTAGCACACAGTGAGACACAGACTGGCCCTGGGAACATATCTCAGAATATCCAAAGGGAATTGTGCCCATGTGTGGGACAGAGGATCTGAGGCAAGACATGCTGGCCACTGGATGTCCCAGAAGAAAGCAAATGGTTACAGGACTGAGTGGCGTATTCAGGTCCTAAAGAGTAACGCAAACAAACCTAGGTGAAGGGGTGAGAACAGGGGGAGGGGGGGCTGCGGAGATGACTCCCGGCACAGGTATGAGGACCTGAGGTGAGCCCTACAACCCACAGTTTAAAAATAAAGTACAATAAAGCCTGGCATGGCAGTATGTGCATATAATCCCAGGGCTGGGGCTGCAGGGACAGGAGATCCCTGGGGCTCGATGGCCAGCCACTCTACCCTATTCAATGAGTTCTAGGCCAGTTGAGAAACCCTGCCTCAAAAAGAGGTGGATGGTATCTGAGGAATGACACCCAAAGTTATCCTCTGGCCTCCATGTAAAGTACACAGGCACTGCGTACACAGGCACCCGTGCACACAGGCACCCGCGCACACAGGCACCGCACACACAGGCACCTACACACAGACACCCGCGCACACATGCACCCGTGCACACAGGCACCCGCACACATGCACCTACACACAGGTGCCTGCACACACATGCACCCGTGCGCACAGGCACCCTCGCACACAGGCGCCTGCGCACACAGGCACCTACACACAGGCACCTGCACACACATGCACCCGTGCGCACAGGCACCCGCGCACACAGGCACCTACACACAGGTGCCTGCACACACATGCACTTGCACACACAGGCACCTGTACACACAGGCACCTACACACAGGCACCTGTACACACATGCATCTGTACACACAGGCACCTACACACAGGCACCTGCACACACATGCATCTGTACACACAGGCACCCGCACACACAGGCACCTGTGCACACATGCACTTGTACACACAAGCGCCTGCACACACAGGCACCTACACACAGGCGCCTGCACACACAGGCACCTGTACACACATGCATCTGTACACACAGGTACCTGTACAAACATCAACACACAAAGCACTAGGTAAGCTAAATCACAGGCTGTGCAGGAACCCTGACAAAAATAAGCTAAAGACATGGCTAGGGACTTGGTGTGAAATAGAAGAGCAGAGGGAGGAAGGGTCTATTATGGATTAAGACTGCATAGCCAACTGATAACAGATAGGCAGAAGCACTCCTCTTCTGTGGTTTCTCCTCTCCTGTATTCACACACAGAGAATCAACTTCATTCATGAGTGTTCCCCTCCAGACAAAAAGAAAGACATATGCTGGTCTGCTATAAACCCTGGAGGGCAAGCATGGTTAAACTCTACTGCTCAGACACAGCCCATCTTAATTACAAGGATTCGAGGGGGCTCAGTTCAGACGGCCTCTTACAGATGGTACAGAGGCTGCTCATTCTCCAGCTGAAGCCCCTCCCTGCCCCATGATTCTCCCAGCCAATGCCGAGCACTCAGCAGGAAGACCCAGAGGATGGTGGCTCCAGCGGAAAAGCACTTGTCACATAAGCCCAATGACCTGAGTTAAATCCCCAGACCCCATGGTGGAGGGAGACAACTAGTCCCTGAAAATTGTCCTCTGACCTCCACACACTTGCTGTGGTGTGTGTTCATGTGGACAGGTGCACACACACACAATAATAATAATAATAGTAATAATGATCACAAATAATAATTTTATCTTTAAAAGGAAAAGAAAAAGGAAATAAAAGGGAATCCTTCCCTCACAAATCAGGAAGGCAGGGAGGGGGGGTCCAATATATTACCACACCAGGGCCGTAGAACTTGTATTTTCCAAAATGAAAATACAAATGGGTATGAACAATAGACGTATGTTAGGAGCCGGTGCTTATGTAAGGAGCCGTTGGAAGCTGTGCGCATGCGCACTAGGTAACTTTGTAACTTTCCTGCCCTTAGTCTCCGCCCCTCCCGTGACGTCATATGGTTCGATCAGCTGACGTCACATGGTCCGAGGGTTTCAGCCAGTTAGAGTGTAACACTCCTGAGGCGACGGTTGCCAGCCTATATAAGGAGGGTTTTTGGGCGTTCAGGGTCTCCATTTTGTAAGCTATGCTCTTCCTCTCAAGAGGCATTAAAGCTTTACTGCAGAAGGATCCTGATTAGTGTCCCCGTGTTGTTTTTGCTGGCGAGGCGGTTAGCGCGGGACAGACGTAGAGTAAGATAAGCAGAGAGGCCTTTCAACAAAAGAGCAGTGATACCAAGAGAAAAAGGGCCTCAGCTTGACCTCTCGGCTGTGGCTGAGGAAGAGAAGACAGCGTCCGTCAGCTCTAACTGCAGTGGGCATGAGATACCAATATGGCAGATATCTCTGGGAGGCAGCTGCCCACGAAGCACTTTACAGTTTAGTAAGCAGGTAAATGTATGTCAAAGCATAAATGCGTGCAACCTTAAGAATGTTTCCATGACGTAACTGGTCACTGGAAAGGACAAACCTCACAAAAATCCCAAATACTGGATGGGCTGGAGAGAAGCTCAGTGGTTAAGAGCACTTGCTGCTCTTGTAGAGAACCCAGGTTCAGTTCCTAGCACCCCCAAAGGGCCTCACAACCATCTGTAACTCCAATCCCAGGGTGCCCAACACCCTCTTCTGGCCTCTGCATGCACCAGGCATACATGTGTTGCAAATACATACATGTAGACAAACACACATAAAATAAAAATAGATCTTAAAAAACAAAATCCTAACAAGTGGATCCATATAACATTCCAGTGATCTAAATTCTATACATTCATAATTTACCTGGCTCCCAACAGTTCAGGAGAGGTGTCTGTCTGTAGCCTGTCTTTTGTGATTTGCTCCTATTGGAGACAGATACACTGTGACTTGTCAGTGCCACAGCAGACACAGAAGGATTCCAAAAATCACACAGTTCTTCCTAGAGAGCTGTTCAGCTTTGGTGGGAAACAGTCTCACCTGAAGGCCAAGGTCATCCGGGAGACAGGGTCTCATAACATACAAACTGTAGACAAGCATCCTTTCCCAACCACCCCGCTCCATGGACACAGGCCCAGGCCAGCTGTCCTTACCACTTGGGTCTCATCAGGGGAAGGGGTAATTTGCAAAGGTTGTGGATGCTTTCTTTCTTTACATGACAGTCAAATAAGGGCTATCTCCACACTCAGGTAATCCCCACCTGCCCTCACTAAGTGTGTGTGAAAGGCCCAGAATTATTACTCAAGGGAAGGGTGCAGCAGAGAAGATTCCCAGCCTGCCAGCTATTGTCGACAGACAACTGCTGGCTCTTGCAGTTTCAGAGCCCAAAGGACTTTGGGAACTGTGGTTCCCTCACTTCTGCCTCCAGATTTCCACTGAAAGCCTGGAGAGTGTGTGTTCACACAGTATGAAGCCAGATGTCATGGCTCTGCCCTGTAATCGCAGCACTTGGAAGGCTAAGGCAGAAGAATTGTCAAAGTTTGGGGCCAGCCTGAGGTACTGTGTGGGACTCCATCTCACTAATAATACTAATAGCAACAATAACAATAATTTTACGACCATTGCAGTAACAGTGATCATAATTTCAATGACCTATCACAAGCAGGCAAAACACTGTGAACAAAATTTACAACACTATATGTAAATAATATTTAAAGTAGGAAAGTCTAATAATTTTATATGTGGCTTGTTTAACAATAAAATACTGTTTATGTTTTCTGTGTGCTCATCCTTTAATAGCAAAAAGGAAAAGAGAATTCTGGGACAGTCATTGTGTGAAAAGATTGAGCCTAACAGGCACTGGCCAAGCAAGCTAGTGCGGAGGCCAGCAGCAGTGCCTGCGGAGTCCACAGAAACATACGTCACGTTACAGGAAGTGCCCCAACCACATACTGCATTTGACAGTGGTGAAAGAGAAATCTACAACACTATCTGAACATGAGTTATGACAAGGACAGAGACATTAGATAGTCCACACCAGACCCCAGGGACGGCTATCAAGTCATGGCAGCAGGAGTAAACAGAGTGGGGTAGACAGAGAAGCTCGTCAGGGGAAGAGAAGGGTTGCGCTAAACAAGTAGCCTGGGGAACAAGCTAAGGTCATCAAAGGCGAGTTAAGGGGCTTGCACTAAGAGCTTCTGTCAAGCAAATGCCCAGCTTAGGCAGCAGTGAGAACAACAGTGCAGGAGGCTCCACTCTGATGTGTAGTAGGACAGGGGAGAGTGGAGACTCTGAAGTCTACTTACAGCTCCAAAATCCTGTTGTTCCCTTGAACCTCAAATCTACCAGTTATTTTTAGAATTGGAACAAGGGCTGAGCCTAAATACCCTACCACCAATTGAAAACAACACACAGGAGATGGTTCAGTGGGCAGAGCGCCTGCCATGAGAGCATGAGAACTGGAGGTTGGTTCCCTGACTCCACGGTGACTCCAGGCTCAGTAAGACACTGCGACAGAGAAAAGACACTGGATGCTAATCTCTCTCTGTCTCAACACACACACACACACACACACACACACACACACACACGTACACATGCACTGCAAAGAGTCACATACATACAAAAATTAAAATAATAATAGAAAGAAAATGCCTTGGTCAATTTTTTTTTCAGACTGTAGACAGATGTGGCCTCCATTAAGGATCTGGAAAGCTCACTGTGAATATACAACACAGTGATCAAACTTTGGTTCGATTGTGTTTTAGAGGCAAGCTAACAAATGCTTCCCTACAGACTGCACATTCTTACCCTTTCCTTTGGCTGTGAACTGTGAAAAAAAAAAAAAAAAATACACCATGCCATTCAAACTTACTACATGATCGTAATTCCTGAACTTATCAAAACCATGGCCACAGGCTTATCCAAAGCAGTCTTTGTGTTTGCTTTCAATCCGAGTAAGGCTGGATTTCAAGAGACTCAATGCTCCACCCAGCATCTATCAAGCTTCTAAAATGCTGCTGGCTGATAGAGACCCAGGAAGCAAACAGCAGAGCGTGTGTAGCCGCATTCTAAAAGACCCAAAGTTTGACTTCAAAGACTTGAACTTTCAGAAAGGCAACTGCAGAGACAGTCCTGGTTGCCTGACTGATTTGTAACTGTCTCCACCCTCAGGGATGCCAAGGTGACTGTCACACAGCATTGACAGTCCTTGAGATCTCAAAGCTGATTCCTAGGGCCTTCAGGAGCTTAGCTCCTACCAAAATTTACTGTTTAGCATCTGTTGGGCACTGCTGATACCAGGGGCACTTCTGTGGCTCTCTTCTTCCCCTAAGGAGTCAGCACTACTAATTATCCCAAGCAAACTGGGGAGAGTTTAAACAACGTGCCTGAAGTAAAAAGCAAGCTGCCTGAGTCCAGAGCCCATGCTGTGTCCCCCATGGTCTCACTCAATGTCCAGCTCAATACTATCAACTCATGCACAGTCCTGTGGTCATCTGGTGCAGACTCCCAGCATGCAGGGCACAAGCAGACTCCACCATTTACAACTCAAGCCCAGGGAGGTGGAGGAGAAGGTATAGACTGTGTCAATTTGCCCTCTCAGTAACCAGTAAAAACACATAAAAAGACAAATCGAGGTCTAAAATAAACCTGCAGGCATCTCTCAAGAATGCTAAAACAGGCATTCTATCAGGCATTTCCAAACGCAGGGAACTCTGAATTCAGAGAGACTCCACCAGGAAAACCCCTCAGTGGGACTCTTGGCTGCTCTGGACATAAGTTGGCAGCAAAGGCATTTTACCAACAGCATTACAGTGAAGGATGGTAGAAACCCTTTGCAGAATCAGCAAACACCACCATTTAAGTGAAAGACTCAGACTTACGGACAGCTCTTTGATTTACTGTATGGCCAGCCCCTTGTTTGTCTCACTGAAAATTCAAAATTCCCTAACTGTCAGATTTCACACTTGAGCTGCCTAAACACTTGAAACCCCTCATGAGTTCACGGGACACCTGAGCAAAGGGAAGGGACCCTTCCACACCTATTCTCTGCTACCACCTGCCACTTTACTAATGGAGAATGGCAGGCTGGAAGCTGTCCTAGAGGTGCAGGGAAGCTGGTAGACACAGCTACGTGGGGCTGGGAGGCCAAGAGCAAGGGCCTAGGTATGTCCACACACACGCTGCCCTCCATCTCTGAATCATGCCCTACACTGCCAGCCAGGGGTAAAATCGCAATAGGGTTCGTTAGGTGGGTTTTCTGGGGTTTTCCCTTCAATTCCTCCTCTACAGTTTTATCTCTGTTTTTTGTGCTGCAAAGATATCACTGGTCTAAAAGGTTGGCGGGAGGAAAAATGCAGGGAAGGAAGAAGAAAGAAATGAGAAATGAATTTGGGATCTCATAGCACATCCAAAAATTTTCCCTGAAAAAGGGCCCGTAAGTCCCTGTGTGACAAGAAGTCCTGGGTGAAGGCCTGAGAATGAGACAGTGGCGGAAGTGCCCTCGCAAGCACTACAAAGGCAAGCACACTTACCTGACTGCTGAGGGAGTCTTTCTTGGCTGAGCTCTGAGCCTGAGGAGGGCCTTGAGCGGGTGACAACCTTGAAGGGCTCTTCTTACTCTGAGGCAGCAGTGAAGACAGGAAGCCCACTCGAGGCGACTGGGAGAGGGAGGCAGTCCTCTGGCTGCACACCATGGCTCTGGCCAAGTAAACATACCACAGTGTTAGGGGCTGGAGGGGAACGAGGAAGATCCAAGAACACAGAACTCCCAGCCAAGGTTAGTGACAAGGGCCTCGGCTAGGTTCTAAGGCCTGAACTTGAAGGTGTGGCATGATCTTTGGTACCGTTTCCAGAACAAAGAACCAGAAGTTCATCTGGTCTCAAAGTGGCTCTTAGAGGGGCCCAGGAAAGCTCAGGAGGAATGCATTGTCTGACGGCTGCTGGCCACACATGCTACGAGCACCTGACTGCGTTAATCCCAGTAGCGTGAGTTGGAGAAAGACGTGATGGGATGCAAACACTGAGCATGTTTGAGTGCCATTTACTATGCGCTGGAATAGTATGTGCCACTGACAGGAACCCTGTATGTCTCCTTATACTTCTCCACGCATCTAACAAAAACCTTCTCATTACGTCTCGGGTCAGCACTTGACCTCCAGCTACAGAGTCACTGCCTCTCTCCCTCACCTCAGCCTTCTGCTTTCACTGGCTGCTGTTTTAAGGTCACTCTAACTTCTCTCCCAGACTGCAGGCCTCTTCACACCCTCAGCAGCTTCTCCTGAGGAACAGCCCCACCTGTGGTGACCAGTCCTTCCACCCTACCAAGTAGCTTCGCTGGACTGCACCATCAAGAATGTGTAGTTCCCCGTCCCAGGAGAACCTTGGAGAGTATGGACTTTACTTGCACAACTCGGACCCAGGTGTGCCAAAGGCCTCTCTGGCAATTCTCCCTCAGCAGACCCAGGGGCCCACCAGTGAGGAAGTCAGCGTGAAACTCGGACCACAGAAAGATCAGGGGACAGAAGAGCAGAGACAGCAGCCCCTCCATCCCTGCTCCGACCTTAAACCCTCAAGCACACTCACAGCTCTGAGTCCCCAAGGCGGTCCATGCTGGAGACATAAGGGGGCAGTTTGTGTTGGACCAAGGCCTCTTCCTCCTCTTGCTGCTGGTCTTCCTTCTTCAGCCGATGGATTTCAGCTTGCAAGGCAAAAAGCTATGGAGGGGCGAAGGCCAGTTAGCCAGTGACCTTCCCTCCACTGAGGAGCTTCCTAGACACGCCACATCCAAACCCAGCTGAAAGAAGCACTTCTGCTCATCAAACAGTGGGGAAATCAAAGAGTCACGCTGATAATGGACTTCTGGGGGTTGAGAAAGCCAGTCACCCTCAGACATCCAAAACACCACTGTTTTTTTTTTTTTTTTTTTTTCTTTTTATCATTCGATTTACTTCCTCTTATTGCTTGACTTGTTTCTTCCTGAATTCCTTGGGAGGAAACCCTGCTTTGAGGTTTGGAATCTGCAAAATGGGCCTTTGAAACTTGCAGAGAAAAACATTTTTAATGCATTATGGTATTACGGCATCTTTAGTCCTTTCCTGAACACAACCAATGATGCAGCATCAAAGAATCTTAAACCCCCAAATAGCTTATAAACTTCCTTTTTCCAAAACTATCTCTGACACACACAGAACTTCATTTCAAGATGGGGAGACTCCTTGGACAAAATGTAAAGGCAAGCATAGGTGTCTTGGAGCTAGTCTTTTATCAAGTATGTAGCTGAATCAGAACAATTTTATGTGGGTTATAAACAGTGTATGTGTGGTTACATAAGGAAAAAGCTTGGATGGATAACTGACAGATGGGGGCTGGAGAAATGGCTCAGTGGTTAAGAGTGAACTGACCTTGCAGAGGACCAGAGTACCCCCATCAGTGGGTCACAGGTTTGTAACTCCAGCTCCGAGGGATCTGACACCCTCTTCTGGCCTGCATGGGCACCTACACCCACATGCCCGTATCACACACATAATTTAAAAGAAAAAGAGATAAAAACAGCCAAGGTGTGCGGAATTGCAAAACGCACACTGTCTTTTTCTTTTGACAAGTTTGTTCTTGTTACCATATTGCTCATGCAGCACACTGATTTCAAACATTCACCTCACCTCTGGTTATCAGGGCTGGCATAGCCCCAGATCCCCAAGCTTGGTGACTCACTTTTCATCTGAGAACAGTTCACCTTTTCTATATTTAACCAGATCTCCACTGCTACCCAAAAGCAGAAGTGCTTCCCAGTTTCCCAGCCAGCTCAGAACAAACCTTCTGGCGCAGAGCTTCATTTTCTTCTTGAACCTGGTTGGTCCTCTGGCACTCCGCATCGAAGTTCAGGATCACAGGGACTGGTACACAGAGTTAAAGAATGAGTCTGCCCAGAATGATTTCAAAGTCCTTCCCAGCAAGCCACAGGGAACAGAGGACAGAAAGGGCATTGTGGAAAGGAAAGAGTCTCTTCCAGCCTCTGGACCTGCTACTCCAGACCACCTGACTCTGCTGAACTCAGAGACACATGACAAACTGCCTGGCCAGCCCTTGCATAAGACATAATCCAAACTCAGGCCTTTTCCCCCAACACCAGTGGTAAAGAGCTAGTATTCAGCAGACTCCACAGTCTCAGCTTTAGCAAGGCCATTGCCAACAACTCAGCTAAAAACAAAGCTGGAAGCAGGATCAGCCACTTCTCCATGCTGGATCTCTCCCTGGCAGAAAATTAGATGGAAAATCCATTCTGCAGACTGAATAGCCACACACAGCCCATGAATGCCCACACTCTAGCTTAGGGTACTGGTCCTTCTCAGCTGCTGCCCAGCGTCCCACTGGAATCACAGAGCAGGTAGAGCCTGTCTTAGGAAAGCAAACTGTAGTTCCAATGTGCATGACCTACTTTGCAGGGTCATGACCTGTTTTGTACTGAAAAGATAATGAGCAACAGGTTCCAGCTGCCCTGGAGGGCCCGTGTGGCCATGTAAGTTCTTTGGAAAGTCCTCAAGAGGAACAGGAAGGAGAAGAGAAAGGCAGATCTAATAAAGGCTGATTCACACTTATCCACAACAGGAATAAGGGAAGCAAAGGCAGGAACGTCCATCAGAAAATGTCCTTCCCAGAGCCCAACACAGCTAGCCACAGTGGGTGGACCTCTACCACGCCCAAATTTATCAGTGCCTCACCAGGCAGTGCCATTTCAAATGAGACGCCCTTCTCTCATAGATCTTCAGCCTAGAAAGCATGAACAATGAGACTTGTTCTCACATCAGATCTTGGGCCTTCAGCAATAGTTGTAGGCAGCGAGTTACAGTGATGTTTTCTGTCCCTCCCACTGTCTTTCAAACAACCGAATACATAGTCTTAAAGCTACTCTATACCCTGGCAAGGTGAGGCACACGGAGGTCACTGTCTCAGAAAGTAACCCAAACACAAACTCAGGCAGATAGCTCCAGCCCAAGAAGTGTTTTCATCTGCCACCAAAGTCCAAAGGGGGAAGCGCCCCCCCCCCCCCCAGAAACCTGTGCCACATACAGAAAGGGTACTCTCAAGGCTGGCTGCTCCTAACCCTTGAGCCGATGGACAGAGCCAGGTACCAGTATCCAGAAGCTGTCAACTTCCCTGCCTGTGCATTTCAGCTGTCACTGACAGCACAGCTGCAGAACTAAGAATTATGACTCTGGACTCCTGACAAAAATAACAACGATTTGTCCAGCCCCTCACATGACCCACATCAGTGATCTTGGGGTGTTTTGTGAAAGAAATGGCTGCATCATGAACAGTGGCCTCTCATCACCGTGTCTGGGTACTCAGACTGGGACACAGCCTCAGGTAGCAGGAAGGATATGCATGCACTGGAAGAGAACACTCAGGAAGTTGTGCAGAGAAACAATGAAAGTGTCGGCCCACTGTCGAGAAAAGTAGGTAGCGAAGGTGGGGTTGGTGTCTGGGGAAGGCAAGAAGGGCAAGACGAACCAATCCTTCCATTCAGCCTGGTTCTGGAGTTCTGTGGCCTGCTTTGCAAAGAATTCCTGTGCCTTGTCATTTCTGTTTGTCTGCCAAGATACAAAGAAGGTTGCAAGGGAGGGGAAAGAGACAAGTCCACAGGTCAGGTTCTTGGCTGTTGCCAAGCAGACAACCTTTGAATATCTCCTGTCAAGCCATCGACAAAACTCTATCTACAAACTCCACAATAAAAAGGAAATCATCACTCTTTTCTCATTCCAAAGCTAGTTTATTCTGAAGTTCTGGGGCTAGGGATATAACTCACTCAGTTGGGAGAACATTTGTCTTGAATGCACAGAGTCTTACATTCAACCCCTGGCACCGAATAAAACCAGGCATGGTGACACACCTGTACACCTAGCACTTGAAATACAGAGGCAGAAAGGTCAGAAGTTCAAGGTTATCCTCAATTACCTTGAGGCCACCCTGGGATACAGTGACCCAGTTTCAAAACAAAAATGAACTGAGGTTCTAATGACAAATGCCATCCTGAAAACTAACCCCTGCATGATGTTCAAATAACCAAAATTAGTCCCCCAAATCAGCTACATTTTGTTTTGGTTTGTTTTTGAGACAGAGTTTCTCTGTACAGCCCTGGCTGTCCTGGAACTCACTCTATGAACCAGGCTGGCCTCAAACTCAGAGATCCACCCAAGTGCTGGAACTAAATGCAGGTGCCACCACTACCCAGCTACAGCTACATTTTTTTACTATTCTAAGTTTATATTCTTTAAAATGCTATACAAATTTACTTGCTTAAAACCAATGGGACATAGAACTGGGGTAAACAAATCAGACGATCTACAGATTATGAGACATAGGGGACAGGGAAACAGTCAAAAGCAAGAAGCACCTGGATTGTGTAGACAAGATAAAAGCGGAACAGGCTGGTTTTGAGTTTGTTGATGGTGGGTCTATATATGTCCTCCAAACGGCTGAAGAGCCTGCGCTCCAGGTAGCTCCAATAATCCCGAAGGGCGGCCAAGTCATACACCTGCATCAAATGCTGCAACTGGTCCACAATCTTGTCCACCTGGAGAGAGAAGCGTCACTGGAGGTGGCCAAAGACAGGGCGTTCCCAACTCACCACCCATAATACAAACTCTGTATTCTTCCTGTGGCTCCCAGAGGTAAAAACACATACATCAAGCCAGGCAGTGGTGGGGCACTTGGGAGGCAGAGGCAGAGGCAGGGGCAGGGGCAGAGGCAGGCAGACCTCTGCAAGTTTAAGGCCAGCCTGGACTACAGAGCTAGTTCCAGGACAGCCAGAGCTGTTACACAGAGAAACCCTGCCTGGAAAAAACCAAAGCAGGAAACAAAAATCAAACAAAACAAAAAGCACATATACATCAGTTGGCAATCTATAAAATTTCCAAGATATGTTAACATAACAGCTTTCAAATTATTTTCTGATATTAGATACATGGCTTGACCCTCTAGTAAGCTCAGAAATTTCAAGTAAGCAAGAGCTTTGGCTACAGATGTTGGATCTCTTTGACCAACTTGGCAACATCACTTCAACTTCAGTCTTGACTGCCTCACATTGTAAAAATAAATAAGAGTGAAAACATATTAGACCTAGACCGTCTCCAAAATTTCAGGATTCCCCGGAACACCATGATTACTGGCTCCTACAGGTCATCAAAGTCTCACCCAAGCCTGGGTGGTTGCTCCCTTCAGCCAAAGACCGTCACACCAGAGTAGACAATCTGAAAACTGTTTTGGATACCAATGTCCACCCAGCTCCTTTGTTTTACAAGTAGATCAGGACACTGCTGTCTGAGGAGGGAGATGCTTTGCTTTGCCACCAAGTACTAACCTCGCGTGGCAGGAACCAATATCCTTACTTCCAGCCAGTAGCTCACCACCTCCCTCAATTCATCTGGCCAGGACCAATTTAACTCAGTACATACAAACGTACACATCATAAGCAAAGAACTTCCAAGCACCTCTCAAATGGAAAACGGTATCCCAGAAGTTTGTGTTTTAAAACATGCAGGGAGGTGTTCCTGAACTGCAGAATAAAAATTGCCAATGATTCCCTGATAATCCCCCAGAGACCTGAACCCAGCCAGCGATCCGGGCTGCAGCCCCCTTCGCTCCCACTACCGTACAGAGAGCCAATATTTGAATATTTCTTCTGCCAGAACTCAGCCTTGTACTCAACCCTGGCTCTTAAAGCGTCGTAGCCACGCCGGCCAACCATCGACCAGCACCTGCAGAGAGGCCGGCATGGAGCGGAGCCCTGGACCAGGAATCAGAGACCTGAGCCCGGATGCTCCTGACTCACTAAGCAACTTCAGGCGAGTCACAGCCACCTCCCGACCTCAGTTCCTCCTATGCCAACCAGGGCCAGACTTGAGATGTCTGCAGTCCCCCGGCGCACAGTGACAGCGCCGCCCTCGCCCCGGAGGGCAGCGCGGGACCGGGAGGCCCCCCCACACACAGCCACCTACCCCACCCACCTCCATCC